TTATATACGTACTTATTTTAATTGAAAATAGGAAAGGTACCTTCACAAGTTCCATCTTTTTCTTCATAGTTTGGTTTACATGTGCACACTTTCTCTCCTTGAGGATTAAATGCACAGCTTTCGGCATTTGTCCCACAGTTGCATACTATGATATAAAACAAAACGTTATATGTATTTTTATTCAACTTAAGAAAACTATAAGAGTTTTTATTGCTTTTACACGAAGGTCTTCGTAGGTTCAAATGTACATCTAAATAATACTAAAGCATAACACTGAGCACTTGAATTTCAGGAAGTCATGCTTCTAGATTCAATTAAGCGTATGCATATTTTCTTCCGGTTGTCGAATACATAAAATAGAATGCGTTTATAGCATAATTAAATGTTCTCTTTTAAGACAAACACCAGCTTAAAGAACACGTTTCCACAACCTAATAGCTGGAAATAATAAACGAAGGCATTTAATATTATCGCATTCAAAAAACTAAAATTAAACCCACATACTATTAAACATTTATCGTCAACCAGCATTATTATATAAATTGTTTATTCAAAACAGTTGATATTACGCGTGTTGAAACGTTTGGAAATATAGCAGTAAATATCGAGCACGGAAAAAATAATTCTTTTACGTGAAGATAGAAAACTGATTTAAGAATAAATCGACGACTTTCTGTTACACTCCACTTTACAAATTCCATAAACTTCTTTAGCTTAACTAACGGCCATGTAGCTGTCGCAAATGTTTTCGTTTTTTGAAATATGTAAAATCGTTTTTGTGCTTTTATCATAACAAAAAGAAGCAAATTAAAAGATTGCCCGAGTACTCCATGAAATTAGAATACGCAGACATCAGTAATTGCACAGAAAATTATTTTAAGAAGGATTATATTTTGTTTGCGCTAAATATACAAAAATGAAAAGCGTAGTTCTCTACCCGTTTTATGAGTTGCTGTAGTTGGAAGGAAATACATAGTTTCCAATTAATCAAGTATACGTAAAATATTCGCGAACGTGAAATATACATCTCTTACTTAGTGTTACCTCACTAGTTCCGAAATTTGCCTAACATTTACTAATATTCTACGGAAAAATTAGCTCTACATATACAAATTAAAATTATGTGTGATTCGGACAAAATTATGTCGATTAAAGGAAAAGCGAGTTTGACAGTAAATTCTTTTCCGTATTATAGCCCTAAAAATAATATTTAAAAAATTGACATTAAGCGACTTCTGCGCGTTAATACAATTTGTATGCTTTCACAGACTTGTCACAGAGGAACACAATTCTAACTATGTTTATATGAAACTGGTTTAGTTCCAAATTAATTGCTTAAATTATCTCTATTAGGAAAAAGGAATTGCCCACACAAAACGCAACTTCATTACGCGAAGACAGAAATTTGCTTTGCAAAATGTATACGAATTTCTCAAACGATTTCGTCGGACGTGTTTCTGCATTTACGTTAAATGAAACATTATTGACTAAACGATTTAAACCGATTTGTGCAAAAGCACATTTGGCAGAATACAGTTTTACTCCTTAAACTCCACTCTTATAACTATTGTCATTTTGGCCGCACATCCATTTTAAATAAAGACACAAGAAGTATACACACATAGGATATATTTGGCGGAACTTACCTCGGAAGGTCATTTTCAGTGCTCGTTTAGAAGAACATTTCATATCTAAATACGCTTTAAAGTATAAAACGGTGATAGGAAAGGATTGGCGAGAAGAAATATTTTTAATATTTTTGTTATATCTTCGCTCTAGTGCTCGAAGGATCATATATCGTGAGCAACCTACATTAAGAATAATTACATTTTATTCGAGATATTTTATTTGGGGACAAATTGAGTTTAAGAATTCCTAATTTTGGCGTCCACATATTGAATAATGTAACTCTAAAATATTTACTATAATCCTTTCAGTCGCGACTAGAATCGTTATGTAAATTATAAGTTTGTATACATAATTGTCACAGACTATCGATATTCTGTATATTTTCTATAGAAAATTGCTGTTAGAACAAACCTTTGCTCTTAAAATTTTGTTAACGTATATGAGCTAATTTGGGAGAAAGAAAATTCACTTCTTCTCTTGAAGAAATGTAAGTGTGTTAACGTTATTCTTAGAAATTTCTGACACTTGGCTAATACACATATTTCGTAATTTTGTATTATTATATACGTACTTATTTTAATTGAAAATAGGAACGGTACCTTCACAAGTTCCATCTTTTTCTTCATAGTTTGGTTTACATGTGCACACTTTCTCTCCTTGAGGATTAAATGCACAGCTTTCGGCATTTGTCCCACAGTTGCATACTATGATATAAAACAAAACGTTATATGTATTTTTATTCAACTTAAGAAAACTATAAGACTTTTGATTGCTTTTACACGAAGGTCTTCGTAGGATCAAGTGTAAATCTAAATAATACTAAAGCATAACACTGAGCACTTGAATTTCAGGAAGTCATACTTCTAGATTCAATTAAGCGTATGCATATTCTCTTCCGGTTGTCGAATGCATTAATCAGAATACATAAAATAGAATGTGTTTATAACATAATTAAATGTTCTCTTTTAAAGCAAACACCAGGTTACAGAAAACGTTACCTCAACCTAATAGCTGGAAATAATAAACGAAGGCATTTAATATTATCGCACTCAAAAAACTAAAATTAAACCCATATACTATTAAACATTTATCGTCAACCAGCATTATTATATAAATTGTTTATTCAAAACAGTTGATATTACGCGTGTTGAAACGTTTGGAAATATAGCAGTAAATATCGAGCACGGAAAAAATAATTCTTTTACGTGAAGATAGAAAACTGATTCAAGAATAAATCGACGACTTTCTGTTACACTCCACTTTACAAATTCCATAAACTTCTTTAGCTTAACTAACGGCCATGTAGCTGTCGCAAATGTTTCGTTTTTTGAAATATGTAAAATCGTTTTTGTGCTTTTATCATAACAAAAAGAAGCAAATTAAAAGATTGCCCGAGTACTCCATGAAATTAGAATACGCAGACATCAGTAATTGCACAGAAAATTATTTTAAGAAGGATTATATTTTGTTTGCGCTAAATATACAAAAATGAAAAGCGTAGTTCTCTACCCGTTTTATGAGTTGCTGTAGTTGGAAAGAAATACATAGTTTCCAATTAATCAAGTATACGTAAAATATTCGCGAACGTGAAATATACATCTCTTACTTAGTGTTACCTCACTAGTTCCGAAATTTGCCTAACCTTTACTAATATTCTACGGAAAAATTAGCTCTACATATACAAATTAAAATTATGTGTGATTCGGACAAAATTATGTCGATTAAAGGAAAAGCGAGTTTGACAGTAAATTCTTTTCCGTATTATAGCCCTAAAAATAATATTTAAAAATTGACATTAAGCGACTTCTGCGCGTTAATACAATTTGTATGCTTTCACAGACTTGTCACAGAGGAACACAATTCTAACTATGTTTATATGAAACTGGTTTAGTTCCAAATTAATTGCTTAAATTATCTCTATTAGGAAAAAGGAATTGCCCACACAAAACGCAACTTCATTACGCGAAGACAGAAATTTGCTTTGCAAAATGTATACGAATTTCTCAAACGATTTCGTCGGACGTGTTTCTGCATTTACGTTAAATGAAACATTATTGACTAAACGATTTACCGATTTGTGCAAAAGCACATTTGCCAGAATAGAGTTTTACTCCTTAAACTCCACTCTTATAACTATTGTCATTTTGGCCGCACATCCATTTTAAATAAAGACACAAGAAGTATACACACATAGGATATATTTGGCGGAACTTACCTCGGAAGGTCATTTTCAGTGCTCGTTTAGAAGAACATTTCATATCTAAATACGCTTTAAAGTATAAAACGGTGATAGGAAAGGATTGGCGAGAAGAAATATTTTTAATATTTTTTGTTATATCTTCGCTCTAGTGCTCGAAGGATCATATATCGTGAGCAACCTACATTAAGAATAATTACATTTTATTCGAGATATTTTATTTGGGGACAAATTGAGTTTAAGAATTCCTAATTTTGGCGTCCACATATTGAATAATGTAACTCTAAAATATTTACTATAATCCTTTCAGTCGCGACTAGAATCGTTATGTAAATTATAAGTTTGTATACATAATTGTCACAGACTATCTTTCTGTATATTTATAAATTGCTGTTAAAACCCTTTTTTTTTAAAATTTACGGATGGTTCATGGTCATGCCTCGCGCTCGTTCAAACACGAGGTGGGTTCTTCTGTGTAAACTTACCATAGTGGGAAAATAACAGTTGTCCGCTTTGACATTTTCTTCACTAATTTATTACACAAACTGCACTATGGATACACCATACAACGAGTACACTGTAACATAAACTATATACAATATATATATACAAGGCGCGCAAAAGAAATTAAAATATATTTCTTTTTCTCTACGTTCTCACACGGCATGCTCGCCGGTCCAACTCCCCGTGCCCTCTCCGTCCAGTCTTTCTTCTCCCCACCAGCCTGCCTCGACCGGTTTTTCCGGGGTAAGTCACTTCCGTTCTTCGTCTTTCATCAGGGGAAGGAACTTCACACCTCCCCTCTGGTTTGTAAATATTTACGACTGAGTCGAAAAATTTGAAACCCATATTATTTTGGCACTTACCAGGTAGTCCCTCTTTTCCGGGACACAGCACAAGGAATCACAGTAAAATCAGAGAGCAAAAAAAAAAAAGGGTCATGCTACAGTTATAAACACTAACACAAAAAAGAACACTTAAAACACATAAACATAAAAACTAAACTGCACATGTCCAAATTTCTATAGCGATACAAACAAAACATTGCAATATCAACTCACTGACACTTCTGTAAGGAATAATTCGTTTACTAATATACCCTAATAACACAATCTTTTCTAGAGTAACCACAATAATACAAAAAAAATAATAAATGAAAATTACAATATCTATATACTTTTTGCCATACTAGCATTGAACATTATCCTTTCTAGTGTTACAATAATAAACAAACACACACACAAAAAAATATATGATACCAACATTAGTTTCTTTTTTTTTTTTTTTCCAATTTAGTTCAGATTATTGGTCACTTATACATTCGTGAGGGATCCTCGACAATGCGTCTGCATCGGAGTTTTTAGCTCCTGGTTTATGCATTACAGTGACTTGGAAGCGGGATAGAGCTAATGCCCATCTCTGTAATCTAGCATTCCGGGGTATCCCTTCGGTTAAGTACTTTAATGGGTTATGGTCTGTATGCAACAAAATTTTATTTCCGTATGTCCAAGTTTCGAACTTGTCGAGAGCCCAAATAATTGCATACGCCTCTCTTTCTATAGTGCTCCATTTAGACTGAGCGCTAGTTAATTTCTGGCTAGCAAATGTTATCGGTCTAGCTTTCCCATACTCATCTCGTTGAAGTAAACACGCTCCAATACCTATTAGTGAGGCGTCTGTGTTAATTTCAAAAGGTTTCCGTATATCCGGCGTATATAAAGACGATGCCGTGCACAATGCATCCTTTAATTCTTTGAATGCCTTCTCGGCTTCAGACCCCCAAGGTATATCATTAGGTATAGATTTTCTCGTGAGATCAGTTAACGGCCTAGCTACTTTTTGCATAATTCGGAACATACTCTCGATAGTAATTATATAACCCCAAAACTGATCTTAATGCCTTTTTGGTTCTAGGTGGCTTCAAATTTTTAATGACCTGCAATTTCTCTGGGATCTGGGCCATGTCTGCCTGAGCCTACTATGTGACCTAAATACTTTACCTCCGACTTGCCAAAAGAGCATTTCTCTAAATTAGCCGTAAAGTTCAATGTCTGTAAAGTACTGAGTACGGCTCTTAAATGTTTAAGATGTTCTTCCCACGTTGACGAATAGACAATTATATCATCGATGAAACTTTCAGCATAATCACTATGTGGTCTAAGAGCTTGATTCATAACTCTTTGGAAAGTTGCGGCAGCACCTGACAAACCGAACGGCATCACTTTCCACTGATACTGACCCTTCGGAGAAACAAAACTCGTCAGATGTCTACTTTCCTTCTCCATAGGGATTTCCCAATACCCCTTAAGAATATCTAGCGTAGACAAATAACGTGCTGCCCCTGCCTTATATCGAAGCTCTTCTGCGTTTTGCATAGGAAATGGGACAATCTGACTTTCCGCATTAAGCCCTCGATAATCACAACATAAACGTACGCTTCCGTCCCGTTTCGCTACACACACAATAGGGTAAGCAATCTCTGCTGTGGAAGGTTCAATTAAACCTCTTTCTAACAAATCAGCAATTTGCTTTTCCACCTGTGGCTTCAACGCCTCAGGTACCTTATAAACATGAGGTTGCTTTCTTTCAACTCCCGTTTTTAACCTGATACTGTGGGATCCTACCTTCGCACATTTAATCTCCCCGTCAAACACTACATGGAAAGATTTGATTAATCTGCTCAACTGATCCCTTTGTGACCTATCTAAATGTTTCCATTCCTCTGAAACACAGATCCTATCTAAAAGTTTGTCTACTTTAGGGTTTCTTTGAATAGGCGCGTGCTGCACCTCCCCAAATTCTGTGTCAGCCTCATAGATTATCCCTACTGCATTTATAGGCTGTATATATTTCCGTAACTTATTTTGATGCAAATGTCTAACAGATTCATCTGGCAATTTTACCAAATATGAATGTGGAGACTTTTTCGCAACTATTTCTCCAGGTCCTGTCCATTTCGAGCAAAGTTTATTTGTTGACGTTGGTATCAGTACTACTACCTCATCTCCTATCTCGAATTCATTTTCCTTAGACCTCAAATTATGATGATGAACATATTTCTGCTGTTTAGCTTCCGAATTTTCTTTAGCGAATTTCTCTGCCTCCTGTAACCTATTTCGAAGAGAAATTAAATATTCAGTAACTGATTCCCCAACTCCTTGTGGTAATACCGTCTCATCTACCCAACTTGATTTAAGTATCGCCAGTGGCCCCACTGGCACCCGACCATACATCAGCAAAAATGGTGAGACTCCGGTAGTTGAATTCGGTATCTCCCTATAAGCCCATAACAAATATGGTAACTGCTTATCCCAGTTTCTTCCTTGAGTATTTATCGCGTGATGCAACATTGACTTCATTGTTCCTATCCACCTTTCCACTAGCCCGTTTGACTGCGGATACCCTGGCGTAGAAAATTTTGGCGAGGCCCCTAACCTAGTTAAAAATTCTTGTGTTAGCTTAGCCTTAAAGTTCGTTCCGTTATCCATGGCTATCATTCTCGGAACTCCTGTTCGCATGAAAATATCAATGAAAGCGT